AACTCCTGAGCTCAAGTGATCCTCCTGCCTCTGCCTCCCAGAGTACTAGGATTATAAGTGTGAGCCACCACGCCCCACCTGGCAGCTAAGTCTTAAGGAGAAAAAGAAATCAGGGGAAGGGTACAGAGAGTCTGTGCTGTGTTTGTGTCACTTAGAAATCTTTCAGTTTCTCTGGGACCATTATTTAGTTTCCCTGGAACCAGAATGTATCTACCTGTGTGTTCCAGGTGCCAAAGTCTAGGTGATTCTGTATAGCTAGGATTATCCACATAGCTGAGTTGTGTTCACTGTGTTAGGGCAGGAGTGTCTGTGTGTCTAGATGCATAATTGTGTTATTTCTCTGTCTCTGTGTATGTTTTCTAGTCAGTGTATAATAAAATACCAAACTATCACAAGCCCCCACCACACACACACAGAAGCTATAAAGATGGCAAATAAGTACGGGAAAAGATGCTCAACTTCATATGTCGCTAGGGAATTGGAGATTAATACGGCAAGGAGATACCACTACACACCTATTAGGGTGGCCAAAATCTAGAATACAATACCAAATGCTAGCAAGGATATGGAGCTGCAAAAATTGTCATTCATTGCTGGTGGGAATGCAAAATGGTAAAGCGATTTTGGAAGTCAGTTTGGCAATTTCTTAAAAAGTTAAACATACTCTTACCATACAACACAGCAGTCACACTCCTTGGTATTTATCCAAATGAATTGAAAACATATGTCCACACAAAAATCTGCACACAAATATTTATAGCAGCTTTATTCATAATTGCCAAAAGGTAAAAGCAACCAAGATATCTTGCATTCGGTGAATGGATAAACAAACTGTGGTATATTAGTTAAGATGATGGAATATTATTCAGTGCTGAAATGGAATTAGGTATCAAACATGAAAAGACATGCAGAAAACTTCAATGCATACTACTGAGTCAAAGAAGCCACTCTGGATAAGCTATGTACTGTATGATTTCAACTATATGACATTCTGGAAAAGGCAAAACTATGAAGACTGTAAAAGAATCAGTGGTTGCCAAGGGTTGGGAGAGAGGGAGGGATGAGTAGGTGGGAGAATTTTTAGAGCAGCGAAAACTATTCTGTCTGATACTGTAATGATGTGTACATGTCATTATACGTTTGTCAAAACTCAAAATGTGCAACACCAAGGGTAAACTCTAATGTAAATTAGGAACTTTGGGTGATAATGGTGTGTCACTGTAGGTTCATCCATTGTAGCAATTGTACCATTCTGGTGGTGTGAGAGGTTGCTGGTGGGGGAGGCTGTTCCTGTGGGGGAGTAGGAGGTATATGGAAACACTCTATTTTCTGCTTAGTTGCGCTGTGCACCTAAAACTGCTCTTAAAAAAAAAAAGTCTTAAAAAAAAGATAACAGGTAACCCTTGGAACTGGAGAAAATATTTGCAAATCATTTATGTAACAAGGGTCTAGTATTCACAATGTATAAAGAACTCTTATAACTCAAGAACAAAAAGATAACAACCCGATTTTTTTAAATGGGCAAAGAATTTGAATAGACATTTCTCCAAAGAAGATAGACAAATGGCTAACAAACATTTGAAAAGATGCTCAACATCATTAATCATTAGGGAACTGAAAATCAAAACACAGTAAAATACCACTTCCTACTCACTAGGATAGCTATAACTTAGACTGAAAAAAAAAAGAAGTGTAGTGAAGTTGTGGAGAAACTGGAATCCTTGTACATTGCTTGTGGGACTGTAAAATGATATAGCTACTGTGGGAAACAGTTTGACAGTTCCTCAAAAATTTAAATAGTTGCAGGACGTGGTGGCACGCCTGTAATCCTAGCACTCTGGGAGGCTGAGGCGGGTGGATCGCTCAAGGTCAGGAGTTCGAGACCAGCCTGAGCAAGAGCGAGACCCCGTCTCTACTAAAAATAGAAAGAAGTTATCTGGACAACT